GAACGTAAAACCCGCCCCCGCCCGCCCCGTTGCCATGCCTAGTTGTGAGAAGCGAGGGCGTGCGAGGAAGCAAGAGCAGCGGATCAGAACCGCCATTGCTCAGTTTGTTTTGCTGAGCTGAAAGTGAAAGGATAAACGTTGGGATAACAATCCGTGTCTTGTGCGCTGAGTTACACCTTACTAATACTATAATACTATGTGCGTCCAAGGTGGACTTTTTACCTTTTTCTATCCTATTGGCTTCCGTTTCTATAAAGCCATTATTCAAATTGAAATTACACATAATAACATTAAAATGTTTTCATAATCTTATCGTTCCAAATTTTACACAAATTCAAACTAATTTATATAACAATGAAGTGGAATATTAAATGATTTTTAATTTTTATAAAAATTTATAAATTTAATTTATATATTAAAAAATTTAAATTCAATGATGGGATAATTAAAATTGATATAAAACATAAGTTATTAAAAAAATAAGTTTAGATTTAAGATTTAAATTTAGATTTACTCTTAAAGTAAATAAATATTTCCTATATATATATATAATGATAAATGTCATTTGGTATCAATAAAATTAACTAAAATGTTATTTGTTTCTGAAAAAGATAATCAATTTCAAAATTAAAATATCAAGTATATCTTTAGATTATTCTGATGTCATACAAACTCAATTTATTAATAAGATCTTAAATGTGAGATATTGGTCTTGTTAATCAATTAAAAAATTAATAAATATTTTTTTATTATTAAAAACTACAATAAATTTATACAAGAATGTGTATATACACTTTTTAACAGCTATTTTTTTTCTTTTATTCTTTAACTAATAGACTAATGACACCAATTAACATTTTTTTTAAAATGTTAAAAAAGTCTTATTAAAGAAAAAATCTAATTTAAATAAAAAATTCTCATTAAAATTGATTGATTAAATTTTTAAATAAAAATTTATTACCTATATAATCGATAAATATTTATGCAATTGCTCTTATTTGTCAAAAAAAATTAATAATTTCTTTACTAAGTGAGAACTAGTATTTTAATTCTCAAAACTAGACTCAACTAACTAATCATTATTTTTTTTGACTTGACGTTATAATTTTGATAGTATTTTTTCTTCTATTTAAAACTACCTAATCATTTATTTTGTCTAAATAATTTGGAGACTTGTGATAAATTTGAAATTAAAAGATGTAATTTTAGGGCTGGAAGATCTTTTTTTCTTTTTTCCGTTTTAATTAAAAATTGTCTTGGAATTTAGAGTAAAAAAAATATTTAGAATAATCTAACCTATTCAATCAGTAAAATTTATTAGAAAAAAAAAATGAGAATTTGAAATTTGAAATGGGAAAAATTGAGCAAATAAATTAATTAGAGAAACTACAATTATATTTATTTATATAATCATGGAGTAAACTTGCGTAGAGGTAGAGCAGGCGCATTTTGAACTCGCCACCAAAGTGTGTCGTCCCACGGCAGGAACGGCGAAACCCGCAATCGATTACAAGGTCTCTGTTGTGCTCGTCGCAGAGTAGAGTGAACTGCATTTGGTACTCACAAAACACCACAGGTATTTTTTTCTGTCGCTTCCTCTCACAAGTTACAACACAACAATTGTTTCGTTTTCCTAGTTAGGTTTTATTCCCTTCATACTCGAGGGTTTCGGTTCAAAAAACACAATCACACATTCACATTCGATTGTTGTACGTACGATGTTGTTGTTCAGACTTAGCATTAGGTGACACTGACACTGATTAATTAAATTGCTTCAAGGGAGGAAGAATGAGCGTGTTGGCTGGGAAACGCAAGCGCCAGGACTTGGCTTCGTCGCTATCTGCAACACTGAGCAACGAGGAGCGCGTTGTGTACAACATCATTAGGGGTAGGAAGGAGATGGGGATATGGCAGGGAGACATAAAGCGAGAAACCAACATCCCCGATAGCCTCATGAAGAAATCCATCAAGATGCTTCTCACCAAGACCCTCATCAAGGAGGTCGTCAACATCCAAAACAAGTCCAAGAAGGTGCTCATGGCAGTGGAATTTGAACCCTCCAAGGAGATCACTGGTGGGGAGTGGTACACTGAGGGCAAACTTGACACGCAGTTAATCGAAGCCCTGTCTGATGTTTGTATGAAGCTCATTCTTCGCCAGAAAGTCGCCACACGCGAGGGGATCCTTGACTGGATTAGGAAGGTTGGGAGTGAGATTTTCCCTGGTGGAGTCAGTGCAGGGCAGGTGGAACAGATTTTGAAGGTTTTGGTTATGGAGAACAAGGTGCAGGAGGTGAATAGTACCGGCTTTGGGGATTTTGCTTCTGTGCCTGTTGGTGAAGTTTGTTATAGATTGGCTAAGAAGACTGGTGGTGAGGTCAAAGTTGGTGCCATGGCTTCTATTCCTTGTGGGGTTTGTCCAAGGATTAATGCTTGTACACCCGATGGTGATATCTCCCCAATAAATTGTCAATATTATCAGAAATGGCTGGACTTCTAAATGTGTCATAGGGCTTTCTTAGTTTTGGATTTTCATGTAGCACTTTCTAGTTTTGACTTTTGAATTTCATCTTATATATAACCGGTCTATATTGTCTTTTTTTGTTGTTCAATATGATGCTTTAAAGGTAATTGATTTTCCTTTTGCATTGAGGTGAAAGCTTTTTGGTCTGAATTCCTTGTTAATGGAAAAATTAAGTACAGGTGGGAGAACAGCTCCAAGATAATTGAGAAAACTTTACAGGTTAAGAAAAGAATGGCATCAACATTTTAATATGTTGTGACAAAGATCAAGGTATACTTATTGTTATCTGATTATAGTACCTGTACAATTGTTGCACTATGTGAAGTGCTTATATCAGACAATGGAGGAAGGGTTGAATTATATATCTTAGTTTGTGTCTTTGTTGAGTAATATTCAGCTTTTTCATAGGGTTGAGCAAGGTTTTTGCAAGAAGTTTTTGCGGGTACTGGCCCAGTTGAAGGATGTAAACTTATCAGAAAGGAGAAGGTATATTTTTAATCTAGTCATGTCGTTGTCTATTTTGTTAATTTAAATTTTCAAGACCATCTGAAACTGAAGCTTTTCATTGGACATCTGATGCCTCTGTTGTGCAGTCATCCAATGGATTTATTCATTACTTTGATCGCAGATATGCTGCTCTTGCCATACTATCTCTCAATGGGAGGCATCTGTAAGTGTTGAACTTTATATTTGTGTTAAACTGATTTCAATTTGCATTCAAATTTTAATTCAATGCTTTGCAGATTTGGCCAACCTATCAAAGTGAATTGGGCATATGCTAGTGGTCAAAGGGAGGATACATCAGGTTGGTTCAGATTTCTTAGTTAAATAAGTTGATATTTATGTATGTTTGAACCAACTCTGATCCTTTGGGAACTTTTGACTAAGATAACATTCATTTATATACCATGTTTCTTTTAATTTGCAGGTCATTACAACATACAACATATTTGTTGGTGATCTAAGTCCTGAGGTTACAGATGCTATGCTGTTTGCTTGCTTTTCTGTCTACCCCACTTGTTCGTAAGTTTTTACTCTTGTGATTTCATAGTAGAACTGTCATTCACTTTCTGTATTTTAACTTGAACCAATTTCTATTCATTCAAATAGAAAAAGATTCTTTGTACTACCTCACATGTCAAATGATAGTTGTACATTGTGTTAATGTGTTCTATACAATTAAGTTGGTTAGCATGGCTCATCAATTTTATTTTTATGGTTGCTCTGGAGATGCAAGGGTTATGTGGGATCAGAAGACTGGGCGTTCAAGGGGATTTGGATTTGTTTCATTTCGTAATCAGCAGGTCTGATTTTGGTTTGAGTCTTGATTTTTGGTATAATGAGGCTCTTTATGATGGTCTTTTGACTTGTATTTTTCTTGAATTTTTGTAGGATGCACAAAACGCTAGAAATGATTTGACTGGTAATAATATTGTTATTGGCTTAGCAGCCTTAGATTTAAACCACTTTAAATTTGGATGAATTTCCAATGATTTTTCTTAGTATAATATCACTTGAAGCAAAAGTAATGTTACAGCAAGGAATTGTGCATTCAGTTCTTTTGTAGGAATTGGTGTTGACATTTTATGTTTTAGTATTTTAAATTCAAAATAGAGAATTTTCTTGTAGACCTTTTAGAACTACATCTTATGGTATATGCACCTTGTAATTGCATATTTGAGTTGCATGTTCTTTTGCCCACCTGTGTGTCTTGCATGATTATCAGGTAAGTGGCTTGGAAGTAGACAAATACGTTGTAACTGGGCAACAAAAGGTGCTGGTGGTAATGAAGAGAAGCAAAGCTCAGATGCAAAAAGTTTGGTGGAACTAACGAATGGCTCATCTGGTGAGTAACTGTAGTTCATGAAACAATGAGAGATGGTTGAATTTAAGCAATTTATGTTTAGCTTCTAATTCTTGGTTTTAGGGTGGATTCTGATATTTTTCTGCAGCCTTTTGAAGTCCTAGAAAGATTTTATAGATGGTTGTACTTGTAAAACTTAGTGTTTGTGAAGTATTCTGTTTTCCCAGTGAACTAATATAATACCAGGAATTGACCAATGTGTTTTATCCTACTTGTACAGAAGACGGTAAAGAGACATGTAACAGTGATGCTCCTGAGAACAATCCTCAGTATACTTACTGTTTATGTGGGTAACCTTGCTTCAGAGGCAAGAAACTTCCTTTATTATATATATGTGTGTATATATATATATATTTATCAAAATACCATTTCACCAACCGCTATTTAGTTGAAAAGTGTGCAAGCTTGTTATGATTTATGCAACAAAAGCTATATTTATTAAGTCCACTGTCGATATTTGCATTGCTGAAACTTTACATTACCTCTATTAACGTTTTTAGTTATTCTCTTCCTCACGTTTGGCATTATTAGGTTAGAGATTTAAGAATATTTTAGCTTTTAAAAAATTCTGTTTTAACAAAATGTATATATATATACATGTAAGCTGTATGTTTGAATTCTGCAGCAATTTCTGTTGCTATTTTAATCATTATGACCCTTGGTGATTCCACAGGCAACACAACTTGATCACCATCGCCACTTCCATGCTGTTAGGACTGGAGTGATAGAGGAGGTTTGTGTCCAGTGTGATAAAGGGTTTGGTTTCGTCAGTTACAGTACTCATGCTGAGGCAGCTCTTGCTATTCAGATGGGGAATGCCCAATCTCTTCTCTGGAAAACAAATTAAGGTGTGTATTTCACTGAACTTCTGATGCCGTTACTAGTTGCTTTCTGTAAATACCACATCCAAACACATCTGGAATATTTGTTGCACTTCAATTCTGACCATTGTTATTATTACTTAAATTACAGTGGTCTTGGTGGAGCAAGCCCACTCCGCCAGGAACTGCATCAAATCCCCTTCCCCTGCCTGCTGCTGCATCTCTGCCTGGTGACCTGGTCTGTCTGCAACAGATCTTTTGGCGTATGAACGACTGCTGGCAATGAGCAATATGGGTGGTGTCCATGCCTTGATGCATCCTCAAGGGCAACATCCTCTTAAACAGGCAGCCATTGGAACCAGCCAGGCAATATACGATGGTGGGTTCCAGAATGTTGCAGCTGCACAGCAAATGATGTACTACCAGTAACATACTCTGCGGTTCTCTTGATGTGGGGGTGGTTTAAATGCTATCTATATATCCTGCCTTGTGCACGTTGATTCCTATTAAACTCTAGGGAGCTTTTTCTTCTAATTTTTTACTCCACGGTGGTGTGGGTGTGGTAGTTACACCTATTAGATAATTTGTATGGGTTTGTATCATGTATGCGGTTTTCTAGTTAGTAGGGATGAGCGTTTATGATTGTAAGAGGGATTGTATGTCCTTGTCTGACTTTTCTTCCTTGTCACCCATTTGGTGTTACTATGCGATGGTTGTCATCAATATCATCCTGTCTATAGAGGCTTTTAACATTTCAATGTTCAAATCAATCTGATAGGTAGAGGTAGGAAGGTGGGTGATATGATTTGCGTATAAATTCTTGGTTGATTGTAGCTTTGTAATCGGGCGTAGACCTCGCGTTCGATTTACCTGAAAAACAATTATGAATTGATCGATATTTAAATTTACAGTTTTCGACAAACGGCTGACTAATCAACTAGTAAAATTGATCGTGCAGATGTTAGTATTGGAGAACGAACAGCTGGAAATCAATCATTTTATCAGAAACAAACTATTTTCATATTTAGTATAGAAATTAGTCTTTTAACATGTAACACACACACACACACACACACACACATATATATATATATATATATATATGATAATTATTCATGTGCTATATTTTAATTATAATTTATTATAAATAAATAATTTAATCATATAAATTATATTTTAAACTGTCATAATTTGTATTGTAAAATAAAATTATTTTTAATTGATAAATATTTTTAAAAAAATAAAGTTCTGTTAAGAAATAAAAATAAAAATATATTAAATGAATTGAAAATTAAAAAATTTCTTGAATATACTATAGTTAAAAAAAATTCTAACAGAAGTTAAAGCAAAATATGAAGTAATTAAGAGATGGTAATTTTTTAATGCTTTGGTAATGGCGCTGCGTAGCACGGGTTAAATATACTAGTGTATAAGTAAAGCATAATAGAATTGTGGATGACGATAAACATAAATGTCACCATTACTGACTACCTCATGGACTGATATTCACAATCTTGAAACATGATTTCTGTGTAGCCTCTAAAATTCAATTTAAGCATTTGCAGCCAAAAAATTAATAGGAACTGAATGATCTGAAGTTCCACATGAGAAGGTGAAAAATCCGATGGTAACAAGCAATGAGGAAAGTCTAGTAGTCCAACATTGGTTATTTGTTTGAAGAAATGTTAAACATGTCACAATTAATCCTTTTCCAATCTTGCAATATACTTGTCATAGAATTGCCCTGCTTTCTCAAGCTCTCCAAGCTCAGTGTAGCAATCAGCAATTGCCCCAAAAGCTTCTGTATTCCCTGAGTCCTCTCCTTCTCTTTCTGAGATGGCCAGCACCATCAAATGATATTTAATAGCTTCTCGGTACTTCCCCTGTCTTTGCAGTGAGGCTCCTGTAATATCATGCACCAATATTTCAATTGGAGAAACTTCTAAAACCCTTCACTCATTTAACACACACATGCAAAAAGAACAAAGTAATTCTGTGAGAGCCGATCAGAAAACATAGATAAATAAGAAAAATAGGACAGACGACAAACCTAGACCTCTAGCAGCTTTTTTCTCTTCAATAGAATCCGTCATATTTTGGGCAAGCTCAAGTGCATTCTTAAACTCTGTGAATGCTTTATCTGGCTGTTGATTCCTTAGAAAGTTCTTCCCATTTTTCAATTTAGCAATTAGCTCCTGCTTCTTTGGGTCAACAATAATTTCATTATCAGGTATCCTACCACTACCAATGGGAGCATAACTCAAGCTAGGGGCATACGACTCAATTTTTGCTTGCTTCCTTAAAGCTGTGTTGATTTGGATTAATTGCTCGTTTACCCGCTGTAATTCGTTTCTTCTTTGCCGAGCAAGCAACCCTGTCATACGATCAATGAATTCAGGAAAATGAAAGTATATCACTTATCTATAAGAGTACATAGGAAACACCTCTACTACACACTAGTAGAAGCACAAGTTATTAAAACTTGTGATATTCGAGGAGATTAGCTGCCTTTATTTTTTTTTCACTTTTATTTTCTCTGAAGTTTCTAGCAACTCATTTCTGTCACTCAGAAATAAATTATTTTCCCCTTAACTTCTTTCCTGTCTTTTCTTCTTTAAGGAGGATCCCTACTCCTTTGGTTTCTAACGCCTCCCCCTTCTTTCTTCTTTTTTTTGATTAAAAAATGTTTCTGCATATATGATCAGTGTTCCCTTTGTGATAAATAAAAAGTCCCGTGTTTTATAATATACGAAAAACCTTGAAGACAACAGGTACACACAATGAGCTTTCAAGAGGTATTCATGCTTCACATGGCTAAATCTCTTTACCTCTAAGTAAGTTTCTTGTAGCTTATGCTAAAAAAAACTGATGTATTTAAAGATTTCTAGTTTTGCAAAAACATCTTTCAGTAATATCAATATGCTAGTCCTTTATCATATTAACAATTAGGCAACGAATAAAAGAAGGAATATCTTGTAATATGTAACAACAACTATGCTATCATTTGCCTAAAAATATCTTGTGACAAAATGAAGTTCTATTATCCAAGCCCTTGGAAACTTAGTATGTACAAGGAATCTCGCACTTACTTACCTCCTACAGTGGCTCCAATGAGAGCTACTGCCAGCAGTACAGGCATATTGAAAACAGAGTTATCAGCTTCACACGTTTCAGCCAAAGCTGTATTAGGCATAGAGAACATCAAAATATTGCTAGCTAGAAATATCAGTGACGGGAACCTTTGGTGCATATCTTCCTGACAAGGCAAACAATTTCAATCAGAAATTCAAGAGAAAGATGTCAAAAGAGAATAGCAACTAAAACTTAAGAAAATGTAGAGTCAGAAGCATTATCCCAACATACAGAAGTGACAAAAAAAAAAGAAGAAAAATTTAGTGCACAAAACAGTATCCACTGTTGTGAATTTTTCCAAACAAGAGATCATAATTTTTCCACATTTAACAACACAATTATTTTAAAAACTTCCATATTTGACAATTAATATACACATTCACAGTAAAAACTAACAAGTACATAGACCAAAGCGCACAGCGGAAAGAATGCCGTGACTCACCATCATACCTTACACTTTGAGCAGTGCAGCAAACTTGAAATTTCAGAAGACCTATCAAACGTATCCTTAAAGAGTGGAACACCCTTGTCCGGTTTCAGAGAAAGACAAGCTAGTTTTCCTGATTCATTAGAAAAAATTAAATTTTGTCACAGATTTCACAGACACAAAAACACTGTTTTCAAAGCTCAAACATGATGAAAGTTAGGATTTTGACATGCATTTGAAGAGGGGTGAAAGAAAACTGACCTGGGAGTAGGGGTTTGGGGTTGTTGGCGTAGAATTGAGGTTGTGAGAAGCGAGGGCGTGCGAGGAAGCAAGAGCAGCGGATCAGAACCGCCATTGCTCAGTTTGTTTTGCTGAGCTGAAAGTGAAAGGATAAACGTTGGGATAACAATCCGTGTCTTGTGCGCTGAATTACACCTTACTAATACTATAATACTATGTGCGTCCAAGGTGGACTTTTTACCTTTTTCTAACCATTATTGAAATTGAAATTACACATAATAACATTAAAATGTTTTCATAAGCTTATCTTTTCAAATTTTACTCAAATAAATTCAAACTACTATATATATATATATGATGATTATTTGAGTTCTTATTCAAGGAAAATTCATTAATATAATGATCATTTGGTACTATACGTGAAGAACAAAAAATACATTAATATAATGATTATTTGAGTTCTTATTCAAGGAAAATTCTAATATAAAGTAGCAAAAAAATGTGGTACATGAATGAAACATTATTTTTTTTCATTAGATTTAATATTATAATAATCAACGGTTTAGATTTGTAACCGGTAACTTGAAAATATTTATTTTTGTATTTTGCAGATTAGTCCTTGTGTAAAAATATAGAATTTGAGAGGGTTGCTGTTTTGGTTTTCTTGTGGTGGTGAGGGTGGGGGGTGGTCGTCGGCTGGTGGTGAGGACGAGCAAGATGATAGTGGCAAGTGCGACGGCCAGGTCGTCGAGGGCGAGTCAGGGGTGGGGAGGGCCGAATTTGGAGGTAGCGAGGTTTTGATAGTAGCAGATGTAGTTGACGGTAAAGAAGGCGAAGGAGAAGTCCTGAGAGAGTTGAACGCCGCGAACGACGGGGAGGGAGAGGTAGTGGTAGAGAAGAGACATGAGGCCAGTGACGTCGAGGAGGAGGAGGACGACGACGACGAAGGAGAGGCCTGTGGTAGAGATTTGGGGGATGGTGAGGGGTGGGGAGGCGGAGATGGCGATGGTGATGGCAGTGATGGAATTCATGGGCTGGATGGGCATGGGGAGGCTGAAGAGGAGGCTAGTGGCGATGTTGTAGAGAGGAGTGAAGACGACACCGGTGGTGAGGACGAGGAAGATGACGGCGGCGAGTGCGACAGTGAGGCTATCTAGGGCGAGCCAGGGGTGGGGAAGGCCGAATTTGGAGGTGGCAAGGTTTTGGTCATAGTGAATGTAGTTGACGGCGGAGAAGGCGAAGGAGAGGCCCTGAGAGAGTTGAACATCGCCCTGCCACCACTGTGAAAGGAAACGACACCTCCACTGTCACCGTGATAACGAAGCCACCGCTTGAAGGAGCCTGCGATTTTGCTGCAGCGCGCAAACGAGGCTGCGCTTTCGCTGCCACCACCCGAAGGAGCCCGCGCCTCTGCTACCACCACGCGAAGGAGGTCACGCCTCCCCTGCCACCACCGTGAAAGGAGATGGCACTTCCGCTACCACCGTGCTTCCGCCGCCACCTCGCCTCTGCATATAATATAAGGACTATTTTGCAAATATAAACAAGATAGAAAACTTACTATTATCGATAAATTTTCTACTTCATGGTTGAGACATGTATCAAAGAACTTCATGTTAGAAGCACTCCTTATTCAATAATATCGTGACTCTTTTCTTCAACAAAAATATTTTAATTTTTTTTTTAACCTATTCTTTTTATCGTTAATCGATCTTAATTATTAAATTAAATTTTAATATATAAATTTGTTTTCAAATAAAATTATTTATTATAAATCTAAATTATAATTTATATTTAAGAGTATATTAATATATTTATAATAAATTGTAATTATAATATAATACATTAAAAATATTTATTTATTATAAATTTTAGTGATATACATATTCTACAAACTAAAATACTTTATAATACTGAGCTTAATCTTCTATAATAGAATTTTAGAATCGAGTCTTTTGTATAAAAAAATATATTATGGGAGTAAATATTTTATTAAAAGTGGTTCAATCAAATTCACTTAGAAAAATAACGTGCTTAAAAGAATTAGGTAAATATATTTTTTAACTTGACTTAAATATATTTTTAATTCCTATAAAATTAATAAATTTTAATTTTAATCCTTGTAAAATTTTTCTTTTATTTTTCATCTTTATAAAATTAAAATTATTGTTTATAATCTTTATTTTTATGTGATTATTTTTTAATTACATTTATTTATTAAAAAGTTAAATAATCATCTTAAATATTACTTATAATCATTATTTTATCATATTAATATTTAACACCTCTAAAAAAATTATAAATCTTTAAGATAAATATTATTTATTTATCTTAAAATAACTATTAGAAATTAAAAATAGTTGAATTAGATTTTAGAGAGATAAAAATTAAAAAAAATATTTTATATAAATTAAAATTAAAATTTAATCATTTTATAATGATAAAATAGTGTTTATAAATTTTAAAAAGATGGAAAATAAGAAAAAAAAATAAATTAAAAATAAATTTAAATCTTTTAATTTTTATAATTTTACTTTATCTTTTAGAAGTGAGGTAAAATAAAAAGAAGGAGGAGAAAAGTGGAAAAGTGTTTCCCTTCGACAGAGTCCAAACTAACGCAACGCAGCAGAAATCGAAGGAACATCACACTGATCCTCTCTTTCTATATGTGTCGAGTTCAAACCTTTTAACTCAACACTTCCATCTCCTATCGCTTAATTTCTAGGGTTTTTCCTTTTCTTATCCCCACATAATTCATGGGGGTGTCCTTCAAGGTGTCCAAAACCGGCTCTAGGTTTCGCCCCAAGTCGATTCCCCTTCCGCCCCAACCTCACGATGACACCTCGTCAGAACCCCAGGTAAGATCACCAACGCGCAACCACAATTCGGTTCAATATTTGCATCAAAAATCGCAAATTCAATTATGGGTCTTTGGATTATTTCACAAGTTTGTGTTTTTTCCTCTTCCACATGTTTTTTTTTTTTTTTTTTTTTTTTTTTTCTTATTTGGGGTTGTTCTGACCTAAAGATAATTCCCTGTGGCGAAACACGGTTCAAATTCTTGTTGAGAGAGGTGTTCACATTTAATGTGTATAACCCAACTGAGTCCTTGGATTCTCGAGTTCCGAGTCAATAATTCCAACAAAAATTTGGGCAAATTAATGAAAATAATAGAAAAATAGTGATTTGTGCCGAATTTTAATTGTTGGTATTTATTATTAAAGCTTATGGAAGTTTTTAGCCGTTGTTGTTTTCCGTTTCACAGATTATGACAAACCAAAGTAATGAAGAGATGCTATTTGCGCTAGGGAACTTGTGAGGAGGAGTTTGGACGTGAAAATCATTGTTTAATAAGAGAATTGAAGTCTTTTACTTTTTGCTGATGTGAATATCACGGTTTCAAGTAGAAAACTAAATAAATTGCTTCAGTTGGTTAGATTGGCAAATGCCACACAAGCATACAACTAATAAATGTCTCTGTTATTTGTGATTTCCATTTTTTTGGGGATGGGATCTTAGAAGGGAATTAGGCTAAGAATATGAAAGAACTAAAAGCTTTCGGTTTTCTGCATTTTATTAGCACATTAAGTTCAATCGAAGAATCAATGCAAACAGTGGAAAATGTTAAATATTTTGGTTTTATGTTGCTTTCTTGATCTCATTAAGTATCCTTTTTATACAGAACGATCTTGTTGAGGCTGGTGAAAACATTGCTCAGTTGCCCCGGTCATATGTTTCATCTGAAACTCTTTCATTAGCAGGTCAGACGTCAAAATAAATTTATATTGCTCACTTAACTTTTGTATGAATCCTGACTATTGTGGTGCTTACTTGTTTTGACAGAGAGGGAAGCTTCTTTCACGTTGAACCTGTTTGCAGAGGGTTATTCTATTGGAAAACCCTCCGAGGTTTGTTTAAATATACAATAAATATCTTGCTATAGTTGAAGGAATTACCAAAAGTATGGCAGACTCTTGGAGCTTGGCCTTTTATATGTATTCTTATGAGGTTAACTACTTTTTGAATTTTCAGAATGAGGTAGCTAATCAGTCAAAATATCAAGATTTTCCCAAGTTGTTACATCCATATGATAGGTCATCTGAAAGTCTTTTCTTGGTAATACTCTTGAAATTCCACAATTTCTTGTTCTTTTAGTTTTAGCTTTTATATTCTAAGGCTTACAATCATTGACTGAGACATTGAGCACTTTCTATTTATGTATAGTAAACATTACCGCATGCATGTATCAAAATTATCATGCTAGATTTTCAAGGTTTTTGGCTTGATTCAATCAACTTTTGAAGACCAGCATAATTGAGTTTCATAATTTGAATTTAATGCTTCAGCATTTGATATTTGTTTGATTGTTTTCACCTTTACTCCTCTGTACCTGAAAATTGGAAATGTTACCAATCTTGATAGTGGTTAATCCCCAAAACACTATAGCGGGATAGCACAGAGAGGAATGATGGCTATTTCAAAATTTTCTTATACATGTATAATCTATACTATATACACAATTACATAAAAAATAGTCAATTCTCAACATATTCATAATTTTTAATAAAGAAAGTCACAGATAGTAAGCAAAACATACAAGTAAATAACAACAAAAGTGAAGGAAATGTAGCTGAAAACAGTAACAGAAATGAAGGTGGGTGGTCATATCAACTGAGAGATGTGGCCTGTTCTGTTGATAAGATAAGGCTGCCCCGGTCTTGCAGTAGCTGGAAAATAGCTGGAGATGTAGTGGTTGCTGGTAAGGGTTGGCACAGAGAAGATGTGCTTTGTTGAGAAGAGAGAGAGAACTAAGGAGTTGCTGTTGAAATGGAGAGAGGGGGGGGGGGGGGGGGGGGGGGGGGGGGGGGGGGGGGGGGGGGGGGGGGGGGGGGGGGGGGGGGGGGGGGGGGGGGGGGGGGGGGGGGGGGGGGGGGGGGGGGGGGGGGGGGGGGGGGGGGGGGGTTGGGTTTTTCTTTATGGGTAGGCTAAATGTCTTTTTAACTCTCAAAAGCCTCAACATTACTGGAGTAGGAGCAAAATTGGGTGTTTGGCACCCATCAAACTTGCACAACAAAACTGAAATTTGGGCCACTATTTGGCCCCAACAACAAAAATACCACATGATGGCGTCTTTGTAACGGCCTTCTACTGCTCCACACTGTGTCAGCATTGTGGCATTGCTATTGTGCATTATTAACAACTGATCAGAAATTTGCTTTTGACTGATCCCTTTCCATGGGTAGCTTCATTTCTGTGGCTTATTCAACAAATTACTTGTTCTTAATTTTGTTTTCATTAAAGTTTGTATGTTTATGTTAAAAATTTGATTTACTAATCTTCACGTGTACTTTTATTTTGTAATGTATTTGCAGGCCATTGAGTCAGGTCACTTGCCTGGGGATATTCTGGATGATATACCTGCCAAGTATGTTGATGGAGCGCTTATATGTGAGGTGAGCCTTTATATTTTTTTGATTGCTTTGCTTTTAAAGTTAACATTTTAGATTTCAATTTATTTTTTATGAAAATTTGTTAAGGTTACACAAACTTTCTTCTGTGCTTTGGTTAATTGGTTTGCAATGTTCACTGCTCATAGAGAAATACCAGTGAATGATTAATAGTCTGTGTCAGAGGGCTCTTTCATATTGATATCTCCTCTTTTTCTTTTCTTTCTATTTATTGTAGAGAGTTTTTCATGTGCCATTATGCACTATATTTTTTTCTTCTTACCAAGTTGCTTCTTAGCATTTTCCAAATTGTTTTTGCTATTTAATATCAACTTTTAATGATGCATACTGTTTATAAGACTGAGCTTTATATCGATCCTGTTAACTCCAGGTGCGTGATTATCGAAGATGCTCTTCTGAAAAAGGGGGTAGTGTTGTGTCTGCTGAAAGTTCTCCTAATGTTAATAAAGTATGCCTTAAAATGTCATTGGAAAATATTGTAAAGGACATCCCATCAATTACTGATAAGTCTTGGACATATGGTGATCTAATGGTGAGTATGATCTATCATTCATGAGTGACCAAATCCTATAATTTTATTATTATTTGGTAACTGATCTCAGTTAGCTATGTTCACATTGATAATAGGAAGTCGAATCAAAGATACTGAAAGTGTTACAACCAAAACTTCATCTAGACCCTACTCCAAAGTTAGATCGGCTGTGTGAAAGTCCAATTCCAACGAAGGTTTAAAGTTTAAACAGGCTATTTTTTTACCCTTTATGAACAATAGTTGTATGTTTTGTGAATCTTAATGATGTTGAGCTTCATGTTGCAGCTCAATTTGCCAAGAAAGCGATTAAGGCATATGCCAGAGTTTGCTGTTACTTCTACCAATAAAATTCATGGGAAGAAAGTCTGCATAGATAGAGTGCAAGAAAGCTTAATTAGCAGGTTAGGTGATTCAGGAAACACTGCATCCAATGCTATTGTGCAGCAGACCCATGAAAATCCGTCTGTGCAAAATCTTAGTCCAAACGTTGCCATGGCCTTGAGACCTAAGAATTTAATACCTGATTCTTCCATCCCTAACATTCCTATGATGGGACATCAATCAAGATATGGAATGTCAGTTGGAACTCCAAGAAGTTTGCAGGAGCAGGGACCAATTTCTTCTATTAACTCGTCAGGGGCTCCTGCTGCTGCACAAGATGTCATGATTGCATATGCTGATAATGCAAACTCAAGTGCTTCGTTTCATGGAAAAAGGGATAATCAAGACGGACAAGCATCACCTTTATCTAATATTGCAAAAAGAATAAGGCCTGCTTCCACTGGTGTTGATGCACTGCAGCATCAGCAAATAGGTTCACATGTTGAAACTATTCAAGGATCAGATATGAATTGGCAAAATACACTATTGCAACAACAAGCAATGGCCAGGGGTATTCAGTATGCAAGTGGCAGCATTCAGAAGTTTCCTCAACAGGTTTTTGAAGGGGGGCAGAATCCAGAGATGGGGGCAGTTCCCTTTGCTTCTAGTCAGCATGGCATGAAGCTGGTTGCCAAGGAAGAACAGTTTGAAATGGAAAAACTAGATGGTGCTGAGATAAACCGCAGCAAAAGTGAGATGGAAATGGACACAAACAATTTAGACCCACAACAATTACGGCTTCAGCAACGATATTCGCAACATGCATTCATGAGACCTAATTTCCCTCAGGCAACCTGGAATAATCTGGGTCAACTTATAGAGAGAGAAACAAAAAAAGAGGACCAGCTTCAGAAAAGAAAATCAGTACAGAGTCCTCGCTTATCCACCGGGGCATTACCTCACTCCCCATTATCTTCAAAATCTGGTGAATTTTCCAATGGTGCAGTGGTACCAAGTTTTGGACCATCTGTGCCTGGGGTTTCACAAAAAGACAAGACAGCAATGGTCTCAATTCCTGCTACTGTTGGAACTCCATCTAACGATTCTACACAAAGACAACAGCAGGCACAACTAGCTGCAAAACGGAGATCTAATTCCCTTCCTAAGACCCCAGCAATGAATGGAGTTGGTTCTCCTGCTAGTGTTGGTACAACCAGTGTCCCATTGAATGCAAATAGTCCCTCTGTAGTGACCTCAGGTTTGGTTGATCAAGGTGTTCAAAATATGCTTGAAAGGTTCTCAAAAATTGAAATGGTGACAATGAGGTATTCTGTTTAAATTTTAAAACTGCATCTCAATGTTTTTTTTATAATCCAATATTTTTGATATTCGACAAATTTTTTATAAATAAATAAATTAAAATATTCTGTTTTGGTGTGGCTTCGATTAGCTTAAATCTATCATCTTACTTTACTTTTTTCTGATAATCTGTGATTTATTTTAACTAGTTCTCATGCTTTTCGAATTAAAATGGTAGTGTCATGTGTTTCCTGTTCTCACATATTTTGGACTTATATCAGGCATCAACTTAACTTTAAGAAGAACAAGGGGGATGATTATCACATTAAGAAGCAGAATACATATTCACCACAGCATTTAACAGCGCTTATTGCCAATGCAACTAATAATGAGGGATTGATAGAGGAGTCAATTTCTTTGTCAAAGTCACTTGTAGGTGGGAGTATGAACATGTGCAAAATGAGAATCTTAACTTTTTGTTTGCCTGAGCGTGTAGTTCAAGGTTTGTGCAATTTTTCTCTCGTTCTTGGAAATATATAGTTCTTAATCTTCTTTGACTGTCATTCCATTTTTTTATACAGGAAATGTTGTTTCTCTAGTTCCCAGGTTGCGAATTAGGATGATAATGTTTGAGAAAGCTGATGGTACTGTGGCTATGCATTTTGGGGACATTGAAGATGTTGATTACGTGGCTGCAGAGGATCATCTCCTCACATTACCTAATACTGTAAGTTTCATTGTGGACTTTTTTTTTTGTTATATACAAAGATATCAAGGATATACATCTGAAGTTAGTTTAATACTTAAATGCATTCTGCCGCTTAAATTATTTAATTTATTATTCCCTTTTTTGCTATGTTATCCTCTGTGAAGCCTTTCAAATATTCATTTCCTATCTATATTTATCCTAGTTTCTCTTTCATCACCTTGTCAAACCTTATGGGCTATATGGCTTTGAGGCCCTTTGGCTAAATCCATTACGTGTTCCCATTTTCTCTCATTGCTACTATTCCTTTCATCTCTTTCCATTTATGATATAGCCATAATGTTATTGTCATATATTAATTCCTCAGCACACATGTCTAATTGTCTTGTTTATCTTGCCTCCTCTTTATCCCAAGTCATATTGTATTCTCCCATCGTTATTTTGGAAGATAGTTTTTGTGCGGATAATTTGTGAATTTCATGGCATTAACTTGATGGTTCATTGGTCATTGTCGACCATGAAATGCTATTAGAACTTGGAAGCTAATGTATTATCAAAGTTATAGTAAATCAAACATTTGACTTTTCTGCCTGCCATGTAATATTAATATAAGAGAGTTTCTGCAACTTTATTGCTCTGATTTATGTGAGCTTTTGTGGATCAGCATTCTGCAGATTTGCTTGCGCAACAGTTCTGTTCACTGGTATGTTTCTCTATCCGAGATGGAACAATATACAGAATGTATCCTTGTCAATTTGTTTTTTGAATAGTTTGGTCTGTGTATTGTAGATGGCTCATGAAGGATACATGAAGGAAGATGACCGGATCCAACTTAAACCGAACCGGGTGAACCTTCCATTGGGTAATCAATCTACTGCACCTAATAACGCTGTAGTTGAAACACAACAATATGGAGAGCCCGTTCCTGGTCAGTCATCTAATGAAGTTGCAAAACCAGCTACTAGCAGTAATTCATCTTTAAACCTATCTCAGAATCTTGTTACAAACCCAAGGATGTTGCCACCTGGAAACCCCCAAGCCTTACAGATGTCCCAAGGACTTCTCTCCGGTGTCTCAATGGCTTCAAGACCACAGCAACTGGACTCGCAACAAGCAGTGCAGCAACAACAACAGCAACAACAACAGCTGCAACAAAATCAACACACTCTCATTCAACAGCAGAATTCCCAGTTCCAAAGATCTTCAATGATGCTTGCGTCAAATCAGCTTTCACACTTAAATCCAGTTGGACAGAACTCCAACATGCCATTGGGTAATCACATGCTCAACAAGCCTTCAGCTCTCCAGCTCCAGATGTTACAACAACAGCAGCAGCAGCAACACCAGCAACACCAGCCACAATTGCAAAGGAAAATGATGATGGGACTTGGAACAGCTGTTGGAATGGGTAACTTGAGAAATAGCATAGTTGGGCTTGCACCCATGGGAATGGGAGCTGCAAGGGGAATGGGGGGAACTGGAATCTCAGCACCAATGACATCTATTGCTGGGATGGGAAATATGAGTCAGAACCCAATGAATCTTAGCCAGGCTTCAAATATTACTAATTCTATAAGCCAACAATTAAGGTCCGGAACAATAAATTCAAATGCTGACATTTTATCAAAGCTTAGATTGGTGCAGCAGAATCGTGGAAGCATGTTAGGGTCCCCTCAGTCTAACATAGCTGGCATCTCCGGGGGCAGACAAATGCACCCTGGCACTGCTAGTCTTTCAATGTTGGGTAGGGCTAATATGAATGCTAATATGAATACACTGCAGCGACCAATCGGACCTATGGGCCCACCAAAGCTGATGGCAGGGATGAATCTTTATATGAATCAGCAGCAGCAGCAGCAACATCAACAACCACAACAACAGCAGCAACACCAACAGCAGTTGCAATTTCAGCAGCAGTTGCAGCAGCAATTACAGCAGCAGCAGCAGCAACAAGAAACGACTTCACAATTGCAGGCAGTTGTTTCTCCCCCACAGGTAGGATCACCATCAATGGGAGTTCCGCCATTGAACCAACAAACTCAGCAGCAAGCAAGCCCTCAGCAAATGAGTCAACGAACTCCAATGAGTCCGCAAATGAGCTCAGGTGCAATTCATGCCATGAGTGCTGGGAATCCTGAAGCTTGTCCAGCCAGTCCACAGTTGAGCTCTCAGACCCTTGGCTCTGTTAGTAGTATAACAAACTCCCCTATGGACATGCAAGGTGTTAACAAGAGCAACTCTGTCAGTAATGCACAATGAATTTACGAAGTCTAGAATGTTCAAATCAATGCCCCTGCCACCTAAGTTGCTGAAATTCTGTTGAAGTGAGCAAATAATGTTGAATATTTGAGCATTAAAAAATGCCAGAAAATAGTAATTATTTACTTATAATAAAACATAAAGCATATTGAATAAATATGCCGCTGCTTTGTAACTCTGGGGGCATCACATGCATTGTCTTAGTTGTAAATAGTTTCCTGTTTTCCTTTGCACTCATTGAACAACACATCAGTGATGTTTTTCGGATATGTAGACTTAGATTACCCTTTGTATTTATTCTGTACTGTAGTTACTTAGGTGACTTTTAGAAGTAAAAAAGAAAAAAGTCTCGTTCTCAGGTATTTGTGCATCTTTCGATTGTTTCTTTTGTTTTATACATACAAGTTGATTCATAGCTTTGCCCACCTGTTATAATTTTTATTGTCCATTGAATGATTATTAGTTAAGCAAGCCTTAACTGGAGACTGATGGATATATATCAATGGCAATATTGCTAGCTTGCATGCTATTCGAAACTAACATAATCGTTGTTTGTTAATGAAAAGTTAGAGTTTAGATTATTTATTTTTGTTTGCAGGGATGATGATAATCAATTATTCACAGCCACAATGTCCAGGATAGATTTATTTAGAAACATTGAGTATAAAATAACATGGTGTGCATTTACACCAAAAATTTCCATTTCCAGTTGCATGAAACAAAAGAACTAATCCCTCAACCGTCTGGTGAGAAACTAGTATATTAATAAAACATTATGATGAATTACAAATATTCAGTATCGGGGATTCAATAGAAGTGCATAATCAACATAATCCATGGATGGTGAGAAACTGTTGTAATGTTCTTCTTTTAACATCCTATACTTTTGTAAGAGTTATTAGGCATTTTCAATAAATGATCGTTTTAAAAAAAAAAAAAAAACTAATCTTTTTGATATAGTGCACTGCTTCATAGCTAGTGATTAGTTCAGTTTTTTAAATGAGGAGTGCTTCAGCCTCCGAAAAAGTATCCGATGCCGAAAATTTAAAATATTAATATTTTTTAATAATTTTATTATTAAATAATTATTTAATTTAATATTTTATAATTTAAATTAATTTTTTAAAGATTCGGAAATACGTTTTCGGAGGTTATAGAATTTTTCTTTTCAAATATACCCTCATCCATTTCCCGTCTTTCTCTCGACTTGCAAAAAGGACAAACAAACATTTTTAAATACTAGTTGTTATTTATTGGATTTCATATAAATTTTACAAAATAGAGAATGAGACTCTAATGAATTAATAATTTTCACTTAATAACACTCATAAACCAACACTTTTCACGTTTTTTTTACATATAAACTTCATAATAAGTAAAGAAAATATGATAAGTTGCACTTATTTCAACAAATTTTATGAAAAAAGTTTATTAGAATAAAATAAACCCTTTAAATTTAAAGTAAAATTCAAAATCAAATTTATAAAGAAGCTCTCATAATAAATAATTTTTTTTATAAAATGTATGTTTATTTATTCCAACGAATGCTTGGTTGTTAAAAATGGTAGTGTAATAACTATTAACTTAACCATTTTTTCGATATATTTGTGAGAGAATTTCATATTATAATATGTTGTGAAATTTTTTTAAACATTTTTGTTCATGAAAAGATGCTACTACAAAAGATTGTACTTTTTTTATGCAAGTATATATCTCTTTTATAAAAAGAAGCACATTTTAAAGGTTGTATCATTTTATCAAAAGATAGGGGTGACAAATGAATTCATTTATCTATCATTTATTCAATCTATTTACAAGTAAATCTATCAAATTTATCCATTATAAAAAAAATAATTAATGGATCAGACTTAATTCACCTATTTCATTCTATGGAGGATTGGTGATTGATTCACTACTTTTTCAAAATCCATTGAATTACAATATGATATGTTTATTGGATTGAGAATTTTAAAGACTATTTTGGCATAATTGTTTTTTGTAAATTTTAAAAGATTATATAAGAATGTAATGACTTATAAAGATATGAGACAAAAATAAAATACTTCAAAAATAAAAAAAATTATTTAATTTTATTACATTGCTTTTATGGATGAATTGAATATCTATTAATGAAAAGATTGTTAATGGATGAATTAAATGGATTTTTTTTCTTTAAATAGATTAGATTAGTTGAATTTTTATGTGTATTTTTAGTGGATTTAAATTGATTAATGGATTAATTTATCTGATTCATTATGATTTGCTTAAAAAATTATTTGATCTATCTATTTGCTACCTACAAAAAGATGTCTCTTCACCAAAAATACATGAAATATAAATTTTCTCAAAAAAAATCATGAAATATGTCTATTTGAAGGATTGTATCTTCATTGTCAAAAACATAAAAAGATCGATAAGTGGAACATGAAAATAACAAACAAATACATAAAAATATAAGGAAAAGCAAAACAATGTTATTTTGTTGCATCAAAAAACCACTTTCATCCTTTCCGTTGATGGGTTATTTTATGTTATTTGTTTGAGAGAATATTTTATAAGTGTTATTTTTATAATGTTATTTCACAATCATACTCCACAATGATGAGATATTGTCTGCTTTGAGTTTAAACTCTCACACATATGCAACTCCAAAATGATGAGATATTATTCACTTTGTGTTTAAACTCTCATGATTTTACTTTTGGTCATCACTCGAAAGGTCTCTTAATTATTGAAGTATGTTTGTGTTTTATAAGTTATTATTTTTTCTCTTATTTTTATTGATGCAAGACTTGTTTGTATCCTAACACCCATATGCAAAGAAAACTAAGAAAATCATTATTTTATAAACTACCTTTAACAAATTGCGGGTGTGCAACCTATCCAAATGAACACCAATACATCCTAAAAGAGGTTTATTAGCACATTCTATTACCTCTAATTTCTATAGAATTTGATTGAGCCAATTTGAACTTAAAGGTTGATGTTTTGCATGCACTTTGAAGACTTGCATATTTTCTTCGTCATTTCTTCTTTGTTGCAAGACCATCACTATTAAATACTCATCTCTAATTACTAAGGTTGATCTAATGGTGAATATCGAAATAGTATATACAAGGTCTTAAATTTGAACATGTTGTCATAATAATATCTACAGATTAAAAGAAAAAAATTTTCTCTTTGATATTTCATAACTACAAAACCATCACCATCTAAATGTCATGATATATGTGAAAATTAGAACAATAGATAACACTATATATATATATATATATATATATATATATATATA